TGTGTGTGTGTGTGTGTGTGTGTGTGTACACTGTCACCAGAACAACCCCTTTTCCACCTAGATGTGCAGATCCAGCCTTTCCTTGTAGTCTTATATGTGATGTTTTAAATGATTGCCATGTTTTGGTGACATGGCGGTTTCATTGTTACATTGTAAATGGTGCAAGGCCAACCATATCCGTATACTCGATCACGGGGTGCGCATACACCCATTTGCCTTCAGCACACCTGCAGCATATGTTTTGTCTTATTCTTTTAGTGATGCTCGTTCACATACACTTAGTAGTTCTACACAGGGAAAGGAAGGAGGAAGGAGGGGAGTGTAGTGGAGGAAAGACAGCAGCATCATTGCATCCTTAACACTCACCGGTAGAGCAGACTGCTCGAGACTGGCACAAGAAGCCTCTTACGGGTTGGGTTGCAGAGGAAAATGAGCTTTGGGCAGGCGCTACCTCTGGTAAATGGTCTCTCCTGCAAACCAGAGAGGACGGGTTCGGGTGTGGCCTGTTGAAGCACCACATCCATTTCTCACAGTTGCAGTCGAATAGCGCAGTGCTGACAGATGTCACCGGCGATGTGGCTTCCACATGCTAGTGCGAGGATGTGGCTCCTCGGCAGGTCTAAGGGCCCCTTGGTGCAGATGTGCCCGCCCTAAGTGAAGGCGGGCCTAACAAATCACGAGAGGCCCAATGCTGTCATTTTCGTATTCGGGTTGCAGGCCGTTGCGTCACGTCAGTTGATTGAGGGTACCCAGGCCTCGAGCAGCAAAGAATTTCCATGGCCTTCCAGGCCTTCTAAAATGCAGGCGCTGGGCAGGAATCGCAGCAACATACACAGACAGTTGGGGAGCCTAACTGAACGAGGCCCAGCAGCTACAGCAGAGGCACAGCCTCCTGAGGCCTACTGGAAGCTTCTGGGCACAGGCCCAGCCCAGCCAGACCGCCAGGGGCAGGCAGACTCTTTCCATATAGGAAAGAGCTCGCTGCCTGAAGCTCATTCAGGCACTTGCCAACTTTGTGGCAGTGCGGCTGGAGCGGACGCTCGCGTGCTGCTGCTGTGCGCTAAGGGCAAGGTGCTGTGCACGTGTGGTCGTGCGAGAAGAAGGGCGCTGCTGAGGGCAGAGCCATAGCCCAGCCTCCGTAGTTGGCTGGGGCTTAGACTACAGTGAGGCAGAGGGGTGGTCTTCGGGTGTACGGGGGGAAGACGTGGGTGGAAGTCGAGGAAGAAGGCAGGAGGATGGTGATGATGATATTGTGAGGGCACATACCTGGTATTGGCGATGGTCTTTATTGGACGACATCTTCAAGCACTTTGTTGGCTGCTGACATCAACAGATTGTCAATTAGTAGGCAGACAGTAGCTGTGCAGGGAGTAGACTGGGCGCCGAGCGCGAAGTAGGGAGAAGGGCCTGGACACTCATGTTGGTGATGGCGAGAGCAAGCTCTCATTGACGTTTGGTTTTCAGTGTTACAATCCTCTATTGGTGGTATACTGGTGCAATGCTGCTTTCTGGACACTGTGATACTCTCTGGCTTTCAATGTGATTGTGCAACCTGGATTTTGTCATCTCGCTATTGCTCATTATCCTTGCAATTTGGTATCGTAGCTGGTTCGAACTGCGCTTTACTGGTTCTTTGCAAAAGCTGTTCGGTGCTTCGCATGAGGTGTGGGGCAGTGATAAGGCTTCGGCGTTGGACGATATGCGGCCCAGGGTCGTGTGGGGGCGCCAGGGAGGCTATGTGGTGACATAAGGGGTGTACGCTGGGTGATGCGAGCTCGCTGATGTGGCATTTAAGACGAGGTGGAACTGCATTTCGTTGTGGGTTGTGCCGAGGCAAGGACCGGTCATCATAAATGCATCTCAGGTTGCCGGTTAGAAATCTGTGGTTGGGGTCAGCATTATAAGGTACGTTGCTTTCTTCCTTATCTACCCTCTTCATTACTTCTTACCGTGAGGAAATGAGTTCTGTCTTGAGAGTCCTCTCATTGTGAGGTGTTGCGAGCGCTTAACCTTGAGAGTCGACATTCTTCCTGGGCAGAAAGCTGGTGGGAGACGAGCGACGCCTCTGAAGGGCCCTGGATGAAGCACTCGAGTCACAGTCACCATGCCAACCCGCTGGGACTAGTACACCCATGCTTTGCCGCAAGTCCTTGGTTCTGCTGCTGCGCCATAGAGGTCATGCTGGGCATGCCAGCCCTTTGACAGACGCTCACCAGACCGTCTATAAATATTTCTGGCGGGTTCCGGACTTGAACCCTGGCTGTGATTGTCGTCCTGTCTGCGACGTTAAATAATTCCTGAGGACCTTGGGGGCTGTCCTTAAACTGCCTCTTGATCAGCTAGATCAAACCGGAAGTAAGGCTTGTTGCATGCGAGGGTAAACAAAGTGTAGGGGCTGGCAGGCTTAGCATAGACTTGCGGCACAGGGGTGGGCCGGATTGCACACCTTCAGACATGGTGCTCAACCAGATGCTCAGGGCGTCGACACAAAGTGACTACTCAAGAGGGATACAGAGAGAGGGGGGGATTCCCGTGACTGTTCACTAAGATACTAATTAGATAAACTGCCATCCAACATACATCTCCACAGGTGAACTGTTTTTATTTTTGATTATTTATTTTTGATTATTTGGTTGTACGGACTTGGTAACAACCGACAGACAAATGCGGATAGGTTAGACAATTCCTTGCTGCATTGCATTCTGTTCTAGAACAATCTAAAAATAGAAACAGTATCACCTGTTGGATCTGATACTAGTTGTTGTTGACCACTTGACTACTTCTCTCCAAGCTGACCGAAAGTAGTTGAATATCATACGCGGTTGGGTGTCATGCTGAGGTAGGATTGAGTGTGGATAGACCACACACCACTGTAGCTCATGAGTGATGCAAGCAATAGTGAGGAGGAGGAACGATTAGTGGAACCTCTTAGAGTTACACGTAGAAATGCTCTCAGTCATCCAATCACGAGGAAAGGAGGCTGCGGAGGGAAGTCAGGGAGACGAAGGCATATCAAAGGTCTAGGGCAGCAGCAGCCCTCGCAATGGCTACCGCCTCCATGTCACAGGCCTTGTCCCAGGCCTCTTCGTCAAGGGTTAGTCAAAGTGTTTGTCAGGTTTCCACTAGTCAGACTGCTGGTTTGCAAGTCAGCCAACAGACTCAACTCACGACGGAGGATTATGAGATCCTCCAAGCGGAAGCTCTTCATAACGAGTTGCAGCAGCAGTTGAGAGATGCAGCAGAGAGAAGACAAAGAGCGATAACGAGAAAAGCTAGATTAGGAGAAAGGAGGCAGGAGCTAGGAAAGTTAGAAGCACTGGATGAGTCCGCATTGGACCCTGCAATACAAGCGCTGCGTCGCTCGCTGCTATGCTATGTGTGGCAGAAACACAAGTTGTCCAACAGAAAGTGCTGGCTCAACTAGTGGTCGGTCAGGACCGAATTCTGGCTGCACTGTAGGCTCCTCGTCCAATGATGAAGCAGCCTCAGTACGTTGTAGCTCCCCCTTCGGTTGCAGGTCCCTCAGTGACGCCGTCGCCGGTAGGGCCCTCATTCTCTCCTATGTTTGGCATGCCTCCTTTAGGTGGTTTAGTAGCAATTAGTGGTCCGGTCCTTAGTACTTCTCCTGTACCATCAAGGACGGTGGCAGCTACAGTCCCATCGTGGGGGCAGGCTCAGGTTAGCGTGCAACAACCTGTCTCAGTTGCTATGCAGCCACTGCAGCAATCTCCTAGGCCAATCCAACCCATGCAGTGGATGCCCAAGATTCCCTTGCTGAGTCCTAATCCTTTTTCTAGCTATAGGAAAAAGGATGAGGACCTGGACACCTAGGTGAGAACTGTGTCTACTTATATGAGGCACAAGCTCACAAGGCCAGAGCAGGAAGTTATAGGCGCTGCCTCCTTTTTAGAGGGATCGACAACACGATGGTTAAACGGTCTAGTTCAGCTGCAGGGCTATGGTCAAAACTTTGATGCCTGGGCCCAGGCCCAGACATTAAAGGACTTCGTACGGACTGTGTACAATAGGTGGCATGACCCTCAGGCAAGGGGCTCAAAAGGCCACTGACGCAATCAACAGTCTCGGTTCCAAATGGTACCGGACTGTGCGGGAGGTCACAGACGTCGTAGAACGTCTAATCGTAGTGCCTGGTGTACGCTATGACCCACAAGTACTCACATATTATCTGAGATGTCTGCCTACAGATGTCAAGAATAAGCTGGTGGATAAGGCCAACGTCGACGTCCATAACTTCGCTTCTTTCAACAAGAACGCCTTAGAGATAGAGGCTAAGCTTGGGTCCGCTCATCAGGGTCAGGTAGATAGTAGGAGGGAGAAACTTCCCCAAGATTGGAGGAAGAAGGGCAATCTCATGTTCGTCGACCATGATGGCCAGGCGACGGAGATTGACGACTTCCCTGAACATGGGGAAGACACAGAGCAGGATGGGTCTTGTGAGACTTCGGACGTGGGAGTCGTAGCACCCATCAAGGAAAAGCCTAGGGGGGCCGAGAAGCAGAAGGTAGCCCGGTCCAAGGGTCAGGGCGACCAAGGAATGCCCGCATGGGTAAAACTTGGTTTAGATTACGAGGTATAGATGGACCGAGTTGCTAGGGGCACTTGTCTAAACTGTGGCAACTATGGCCACACGTCCAGGACATGCCAAGGCAAGAAGGTCACCACGAAGGTAGCCTCTCCAATAGTGGTGGGCTTATCTTTGAGCCGTGGTGGTGCTTCTGCGAGCACTTCACAAGGAAACACCTCGGGCCAGTAGGAGTGTTAGTTGCTCTTACTCGTGCTGAAGTGGTAACGTTGCCTTCACCACTTCAGGCGTCGGCCAAGGCTAGTGACCCATCCATCACCCTGCAGATACACCCATCGATGCTCTATTCAAGAGATGTGTCTGAGTCCCTAGAAGAGTTTCAGTCTGAGTGGTCAAGGAAGAACCCCAAAGACTCTTGGGTGATGATCAGCAAAGGTCCTGGGGGTGAGCATTTCGTGGTAGAGGTTGATGTAGGCGGTCACAAAGTGGGCGCCTTCGCAAACATAGGCTCTACACGGAATTTCATCAATCGTGCTTATGTGGACAAACTGCGCTTAGGGGACCAAGTGCAGCGGCTTAGCAGATCTGAAGCCTCTACGCTAGCCAACACGCACAACATGGTGGTCCGAGACTATGTCAAGGACGTAGTCTGCACCTTCTCATATGGAGGAGGGGAACTGAGACACAAGATCCCGTTCCTAGTCAGCGACAAACTGCCATTCGATATGCTGTTAGGCATGTACTACCTTGAGGTTGCTCAACGTCAATTTGATTGGGATAGAAAGGTGATGATTCACAAGCTGCCAAATGGTAGGACCGTTAGGCTGCAAAAGTTTAAATCTAGCAGTCTAGTGGAAAACTACGGCTGCGTGTGTGCATCCTCTTTCTATAACTACTATAAGCAAAATCGAGAGGAGGGCATGTACCTATTCTTTGTCTCTGAGAAAGGGGAGGCCGTAAAATCACCCCCAGAAATAGAAGCAGTTGTTGCTCAGTATTTAGACCTTTTTTAGGAGCCCAGTGGTGTGGTGGAAAGGGAGGTTGTCCATGCGATAGAAGTCGTCCCTGGTAGCAAAGTACCTAGAGGACGGATCTATAAGATGTCTCCTGCGGAGTTGGACGAGTTTCGCCTCCGGCTCAAAGAGCTCACAGAGAAGGGATGGATTCGGCTCAGTACCTCTTCTTATGGTGTACCAATTCTATTCGTTCCTAAGAAGGGAGGTACACTGAGGATGTGCATGGACTAATAGGGGCCTCAATGCCATCAACGTTAAGAATGCGGAGCCCCTACCCCGCATCGACGACCTATTGGATAGAGTGCATGGATGCCCGTACTTCACAAAGATAGATCTGAAGTCCGGATACCATCAAATTGCCAATAGGCCATAGGACCAACACAAAATCGCTTTTCAGACCACATACAGTCTGTACGAGTTGCGGGTGATGCCCTTTGGCCCATCAATGCACCTGGGACATTCCAGCACGTGATGAATAGGATCTTTCGTGATTACTTAGACAAGTTTATCGTCGTGTACCTCGACGATATCCTTATCCTTAGTAAGACTGTAGAGGAGCACACTAAGCACTTGAAAACAATGCTAGGTCTCCTAAGGTAGCACCAGTACAGGTCAACTTGGAGAAATGCGAGTTCGGTTGCACCAAGATTTTGTACGTGGGTCATGTAATTTCTTCGGATGGTTTGAGGCCGGACGATGTCAAAGTGGCCAGCATACGTGACTGGCCCAGACCTCAGACTGTTACTGAGGTCCGGTCGTTTCTGGGGATGATGGGCTACTATCGTCCGTTTGTCAAAAACTATAGTACTATAGCTTTCCCACTAACCGACCTAACCCGCCTTGACACCCCTTGGGAGTGGACCGAAGAGTGTGAAGCAAGCTTCAAGAGATTGAAGTATGCCCTGATACACAATGAAGTCCTCAAACTTCCAGATCCTGAACAACCCTTTGTAGTGACCACATACGCCAACCAATACGACATATGCACGATCCTTGCGCAAAAGGAGGGGAAGAAGTTAAGGCCTATCGAGTACATGAGCAAAAAGATGCCATCTCAAAAGCGAGCAAAGTCCACATATAAGTGTGAGCTCTATGCCCTCTATAGAGCGCTGGTCCATTGGAGACACTATCTCTTAGGCAAATTATTCTACTTGAGATATGACCATGAGACTTTGCGCGATGAAGACTCAACATGTACTCTCTGATACACTCAAAAGGTGGATTCAAGTGATAGACATGTAGACTATCAACTTGACCCAGTCAAGGGAGAGTACAACAAAGTGGCTGATGCACTATCGCATAGGGCAGATTATCTGGGCGAGCCAATGACTGAGTTTGATATATCAAACGATGTAACTCGATCCTTGGTGAAAGCCTATCAAGAGGATGCAGTTATGTCAGAAATCATTCGTAAGTTAGAAGTTAATGACAAAGTAACTCGGACGAGTTTAGGGTGGTCAATGGCTTGCTGTTTCTTGAGAAGGCTAGGAATAAAACGTTGTGTGTACGCGATAGGGAGTCTTTGCGTAGTTTGTTTTCAGGTGAATGTCATGATGCAACTGGGCATTTCGGCTAAAGAAAAACATCAGCTAACCTAGTGCAGAGATTCTGGTGGCCGTCTATGATGCAAGATGCAAAGAAGTATGTTGAAACATGCCAGGTTTGCCAACGGGACAAACCTAGGACTCAAGCTCCACTTGGGCTCATCAAGCCCTTGCCGATTCCTGAAGGTCCCGGTCAAAGTGTGTCCAGACTTGGATACCCTGGTGACCAGCAAGAGTGGGAAAAGAGACACATCTTCATGTAGTCGACCGATTTTCCAAGTATGCAAGACTAATTGCTATGTCAGAAACAACAAAAATTGATTATGTCATTAAGCTGTTTATGGATAACTTGGGTGCGGGACTCTGGTTTGCCCAAGTCCATCGTAAGTGATAGGGATGTCCGCTTTACTAGCGAGCTGTGGCAAAACACTGCCCAAGAAATGGGTACCAGACTGCAGATGACATCAGGGAATTACCCTGAGTCAAATGGACAGGCGGAACAAATGAGTCGAGTAGCGCATCACCTGCTACGGCATTACATCAAGCCAAGTCAGGATGACTGGGACGAAAAATTACCTATCGTCGCCAGCCTATACAACAACGTTGTGCATAACACTACTGCATGACTCCCAAGCAACTGCATTTTGGTTGGAAGCCCAGATCCGCCCTTGATTTCCTACCGACTGAAAACCAGTCAACTGCAGCACCCGGCAGCATGGAATTTGCTGTCAAGTACGAACATATGCTGCAGCAGGCCATTGAACACATTAGGAAATCTCAGGATGCTATGATTGCATCTGAGAACAAACACAGACGGCCTTCTAACTTCGAGGTAGGGGACAAAGTCTGGGTTAAGTCATCTGAGTTGGGTCAGTAGATAGGAATCTCTAGAAAGCTACTGCCACAGTATTTCGGTCCTTGGGAGGTCCTAGACATAGTTGGGGATCAGATGGATGAACCTTCCTATGTGATTAGCATCCCACCTCACCTACGCACACACCCAGTCTTTCACGCCTCAAACCTGGCACCTTTCTCAGAGACTGCCCAATTTCCCTCCATACGGTCAAGGCTGCCCCCAACCATGAATGGTGAAGTGGACATCGACGGGATTGTGGAGCACAGGGTGATGCCAGTACCAAAACCTCTCGGCAGAGGCCGTCCTCCCAAACCAAGGAAGCAATATCGTGTCAGATTCAGACACCATATTGATTCCAGTGAAGATCGGTGGTTCACTAGAGAAGAACTCCAGCGAACAGCACCCCAAGTGATTGCAGGCTACGAGAGAGAACTCAAGGAAAAGTTGCCTGCAGATCAGAAGACTTCTCAGGGGTCACGAGAGACCCAATGCTGTCATTTTCGTATTTGGGGTGCAGGCAGTTGCGTCACGTCAGTTGGTTGAGGGTACCCAGGCCCCGAGCAGCAAAGAATTTCCATGGCCTTCCAGGCCTTTCTAAAACGCAGGCCCTGGGCAGGAATCGCAGCAACATACACAGGCAGTTGGGGAGCCTAACTGAACGAGGCCCAGCAGCTACAGCAGAGGCACAGCCTCCTGGGGCCTACCGGAAGCTTCTGGGCACAGGCCCAGCCCAGCCAGGCCGCCAGGGGCAGGCAGACTCTTTCCATATAGGAAAGAGCTCGCTGCCTGAAGCTCATTCAGGCACTTGCCAGCTATGCAGCAGCGCTGCTGGAGCGGACGCTCACGTGCTGCTGCTGTGCGCTAAGGGCAAGGTGCTGTATATGTGCAGTCGTGCAAGAAGAAGGGCGCTGTTGAGGGCAGCGCCATAGCCCAGCCTCCATAGCTGGCTGGGGCTTGGATTACAGTGAGGCGCAGGGGTGGTCTTCGGGTGTACAGAGGGAAGACGTGGGTGGAAGTCGAGGAAGAAGGCAGGATGATGATGATGATGATGATGATGATGATGATGTGAGGGCACATACCTGGTATTGGCGATGGTCTGCATTGGACGACATCTTCAAGCACTTCGTTGGCTGCTGACGTCAACAGTTGCATTGTCAATTAGTAGGCAGATAGTAGCTGTGTAGGGAGTAGACTGGGCGCCGAGCGCCGAGTAGGGAGAAAGGCCTGGACACTCATGTTGGTGATGGCAAGAGCAAGCTCTCATTGACATTTGGTTTTCAGTGTTACGATTGGTGTTATATTGGTGCAATGCTGCTTTCTGGGCACTGTGATACTCTCTGGCTTTCAATGTGATTGTGCAATCTGGATTTTGTCATCTCGCTATTGCTCAATGTGATTGTGCAATCTGGATTTTGTCATCTCGCTATTGCTCAATGTGATTGTGCAATCTGGATTTTGTCATCTCGCTATTGCTCATTTTCCTTGCACTAGGAACACAGTGTGAAAGAGGCACACATACTGCAGTTGTATAGGCACTGTCATTCTGGCCCCTGTCTAAGTAATAGGATATGTACGAGCCTGACTTTGCAACACAATTAGATTTCTATTGAATATAAGATACAATACATTTTTTAACAATTATTTTTTCATTGCAATCATGCAATGTATAACAGAATGTTTAGTTTATTTAATTGTTACATAATCTATAAAATGCATATGAATCCATTGCAATCAGACTCGCTTTCTTTCCACTTCGCACACATGCAAACAGATGGAGATTCACTCTGGCACAGGGCGCCCACTCAAAGCTTAGAGATCTGGAAATCAAGAACACAGTTCAGATGCAAGTTCTTTTCAACAGGCTATGGCGCATCAGCGCCTGAACACCCCAACCTTGGTCACTGTGTCCACTGTTTACACACGCTCACTCTGGATCACCCTGAATACCACCACACACATACACTAGGTCTAACTTCCTCCTACGGCGGCTATGGCCGCACTACCACTACTGAATATGACTACGATCTCTCTTCAGCCCACTTCGTCTTCGGGCAACCTGCAGACCACCTTCGCACAAGAGGCTGTAGCAGCGCTTCCGCATGGCTTACACAGCGAATGAATGAATGGCTGGGCGCTGCCTCTTGATTTATACTTCTGTAACTCGTTGGTTTGCCCCTTTCCAAGGCCCTTGGTGCACACAGTCCCACACGATACTTGCTTGACGGGACTCTGACTGACTGGGACCGGTGCTGCGACTGCATGGGTTTGCACTGCCAACTCGATGCAGTCGCACTGCCGACGTAACGCAGTTGGCTCACCACTTGCCCACTTGCCTCTGACTAAACGTGAGACACTTCGAAAGGCCACTTCCGGACCTTCCAGAGGCTGTGGACTTGGCCTTTCGGGTACTGTAGCAGCTACGACCTTGACCTTTCATGACTGTAGCAGCTACGACCCTGACCTTTCAGAATACCTACAGCTATGACCTCTACAAAGCTGTGACTCCTAATCCACAGACCTACAGATCGAACCCCTACCACTACACAGACCTACGACAGACGGCAAATACTGCCAAAACACAGATCACGGGTTCAAACACTCGGGTGTCGACTCGATACTGTACATGGGCAAAGTGAGGTCTGGGGATCGAATTCTAGGGCCCGCATCTGTGACTGCAGACAGGTGAAAACCGTTTCACTCCCGCAGGCTTAAATTCGAGGTCCTCCGAGGAT